TTAGCTCAATTAATTGCAGAATTAGAATTAGAAACTAGAGCTCTGGTATACAAACCAAAGGCCTGTTCTACTAGTCCATGAATACGAAGAGTTTTAAGAATCCCCTTTAAACCAATGAATCAATAAGCATTTATTGAGTACCTACTATGTGAATAAATAAATATTTATTAAACACCTACTATATGCCAGACCCCATAGACACAAATAAACTAAAAACATTTTTACTGATGTGAGACATCTTGGCAAAATAAAAGTGATAAGATTTGATGATTGGACATGTTGTGTTGGGGCAAGTGAAAGGGAAGAGTCTAGAATGACAATTTCAGCAATTACTTCAAAGAAGCAGGCTTGATGGGTTGGCCCAGCCCAGACATGGCCAGTGCCAGATTTTGATCACTCTGCTATTTCCCTCTCTCCTTCTGATTTCCGGCTCCCCAGCACACAGGGCACCTGCTCCTTTAATAGCTAGGCCCCTAATTCTTGGAGACCCTGTAATCTGTTCACTGCAAGAAAGCCAAGGCAACAGGACCCAAAAACTCAGACACTGCCATAGAAAGAGTATTGGCCCTGGAATCAGAGGACCTGGGTTTGTTTCATAGATAGACATGGACCTGGAAAGAATTTCAGAGGCTAGAGACTCCAACACCCTCATCTCAAAGATGAACTGGAGGGAAGTCAAGTTCACAGAGGCGAGAAGCATCAAAGGGTAAGATTTGAATCCAACCCTGTTCTTCTCAATAGACTGGGAGATCTTCTAAGTGTAAATGGGGCATGGAGCCGGGAAGCACCTGATCTACCACATCTCCTTCTGCCATAAAGTTTCTTCCAGCTTAAAATCTCCAATGCAGAGTTCCTTTGGGGCATGGTGGTGTGGTGGATAGAGCCCTGGGCCTAGAGTTAGGAAGATGGGTTCAGATTCAACCTCGGATGCTTCTAAGCTGTGTGACCCTGGGCAAGTGTCTCAATCTCAGTTTCTGCAACTGTAAAATAGAAATAATAACAGTACCTACCTCCCAGGCTTGTTTTGATGATGAAGTGAGATAGTATGTGTAAAGTACTTAGCCCAGTGCCTAGTACATAGAAGGCGCATAATAAATGCTTATTCCCTTCCCTTCCCTCTCCCCACCTTTGTATCTCTAGAACTTAGCACAGGGTCTGCCACCTACTGAAATACTCTATAATACTCAGATGAATCTACACTCTCATTGATTTGGGCATCCTTTCCAATGTTGCAGACCCCTACCCAACCCATCCATACCTACTGATCCCATACAAATCTTGTCCATGCTGTCTCTCAAACTTGCCACAAGGAGTGCTCCCGAAAGCCTTCCTCAATTTCTCCTGACATTGGGATGGCACCAGGAGAGCACTTTGGCTGTCCACCCATCATCCCTCATTCATACCAGCTCATTCTCTCTTCCTATTACACAATCCTTGATGTCATCTTAAACTCCTGTTGACTCCTTCAGGGATTCCTCATTGGTTCGATGTGGCAGCCTGTTCATACCCGTTATGCTCCTCTCTATTTGGGTTCATATTCTCTATATATTGGGTGCTAATTTTTAATTCTTCATAGACAGTTGTATTCTACACCATTTACAGCAACACTAGTAGAATACTAGTATTAAAAAAAGATATACCTTTGTCTTCATGGGAAAATTGGGATCAATAACAGAACTTTGCAATTTTCTAAAGGCAATCTAATTTACTTTCCTCTTCATCAATGCTGGTCTCCCAGTTCATTGTTTATCTGTCCCATCTGTCCCAAATATACATAATGATGGACGAGATCTATAGAGTGTTACGTTTAAATATATGTTGAAATCTGGGCAAAAGACCTTCCTTGTCTACTTGGACTTTTTGGTGGGATAGACAGGCCAAATTCCCTTGATCTCAGCAATCTTCTAAGGCTTAATACAACTAGTAGAATATTATCTGCAAACAAGCATCTGGAGGACTTCAAGCTCCACAAGAAAATCTCTCCTTGATCTGGACTCTGCTCTGATCTCCTCTGTCACAGTAGCAAAAATCTCTGGCAAGCTTACATCTCCCTCTTTCATGCCTCAGCCAATGTTTGTTTGTTTATTTATTTGTTTGCTTTTAAAACAAATTTTTAAAATGTTTTAAATATTTTATTTTTTTCCAATTACATGTAAAAATTAACCTTCCCTTGAAAAAATTTTTGAGTTCCAAATTCTTTCCCTCCTTCTCCTCCTCCCTCATTGAGAAGGCAAGAAAATTGATATAGGTTATATATGTGCAGAAATGCAATACATATTTCCATATTAGTCATATTGTGAAAGAAAACACAGGCAAAACAAAAATAAAGAAAAATAAAGAAAGTAAAAAAGCCAATGTTTATTAATAGAGCATAATTGAGTAGGGTTATTTTGGTTGTTATTTGTTCCTAGGAATCTTGAGTGAATTTGATATGTGGATGCAAATCATTGTGTGGAAAAGGGGCCTTCAGGTCAGGGTAATGTTCTACTAAACCAAATGCTTTTTCATAATCAAACAAGAAACACAATAGGATCTCATGTTCTCTCCCTCATTCGGTTAATTGTGAGATCTTAAAGATGTGGTCCATTGTTGAATGTGAATTGCAAAAGCCTGCTTGCTCCTTGCTAATAGGCTAGGACAGCCCAGATTCACATATAGATGATTCTCAGAAAGATTTTGTACAGATGAGAGAGTAGGCATATAGGTTGGTAATTAATGATGTTTTTTTCTGTCATCTTGTTTCAGGTATTAAGCGGATAGAGTGCTGGGCTTGGAGTCAGGAGGATCTCGGTCCAAATCCAGCCTCAGACACGTATTAGTTAAGTGATTCTGGGCAAGTCACTTAACCTCTTTTTGCCTCAGTTTCCTCAACTGTAAAGTGGGGATAATAACAGCACCTCTCAGGGTTGTTGTGAGGATCAAATGAGATAATATTTGTAAAGCACTTAGCACAGTGCCTGGCACATGGTAGGTGTTATATAAATATTTATTTCCTTCCCCTTCACTATTAATAAGACCTGAGATTTTTTTTTGGCTTTTTGGTGAGGCCATTGGGGTTAAGTGACTTGCCCAGTGTCACACAGCTAGTAAGTATTAAGTGTCTGAGGCTGGATTTCAACTCAGGTCCTCCTGACTCCAAGGTCAGAGCCCTATTCACTGTGCCACCTAGCTGCCCCCTAAGACCTGAGATTTTTCCCGTGTGTTTGGTGTCCTTCTTTCCATGAGACACTTTGTATGTCAGTCTCTCAATGCCCTCACAATTGTGGCCTCTCTAGTATAAATCACTGCATACACTTGGCCTAATCCAATTATTTTGCTCATATTTATTCCTTTTAATGTCATTTCTACCTCTCCATAGGTACATATGGAACTCTGATGTTAAGGTTTATGTGTGCTAGTTCCACTATCCTTAGTAGAGGATAGATTTTGCTAGGTAGAGCAGTGGATAGAATGTCAGGCCTGAAGTCAGGAAGACTTTTCCTGAGTTCAAATCTGGACTCAGACATTTACGAGACATGTGACCCTGGGTAAGTCTCTTAACCCTGTTTGCCTCAGTTTCCTCATCTGTAAAATGAGCCGGAGAAGGAAATGGCAAACCACTCCAGTATCTTTGCCAAGAAAACCCCAAATGGGGTCAAGAAGAGTCAGACACGACTGAACAACAACAAAATAGTGAATTTTTGCAAATCTCCATTTTCCTTCTGTTCATAGTTATCCTTCCATTCTCATTCTTGAATGCCTATGGGACCACTCGCTGCCTATCTTGCCAAACTTTTCTTTCAAGTGGTTTTACTCTTCTGCTTCTCTCTGTTTTATGAGATGATACTGCTTATAATCATGCAGCATCCTTCTTTATCCTGTTAAAGAAAAAAACTAATACTGTACTCTATGTTTAGTTACCAGGTTGCCAGAAACAATTTTAATGTAAGATTAATCTTATTAGATTATTTAATTTAAGATTAATCGAATTCCAAGTCATTTCTGATTTAGAGAAGGAGATGTTCAAATGGCAATGTTATCTCATGCCTTCAAATTGTCTCTGCTCCAAGAAAATTTTAGGTAACATTTATAGAAATCCAAGAAAGAAAATTAAGATATTTAACTACCCTGTTTTAGATTAGCATTCCTAATAGTTGATCAACCATATCTCTATCCATTTCCTCCTAGACCACTCATCTCCAGAAATCAATGCTGTTCTTCCCACAGGCACATCACAGAGAATCTTGTTTAAGTGATTTGTTGAATGGAAAAGGATATTTTAAATGGAGAAGACCCTAGTTTAATCCTTCTGGGAACAAAGGGAAGAATTTGCCCCTTGATGGAACCTGTCCTATCAGGTGGAAGTAGGGAATTACCAAGTGGGCCTTTATTTACATCAAAAGTGTTAAATTAAGTTGTTTTTCAGTCCTATCAACTCTTCATGACCCTATTTGGGGTGTTTTTTGGCAAAGATACTGGGGTGAATTGCCGTTTTCTTTTCCAGATCACTTTACAGATGAGAAAATTGAGGCAAAAAAAGTTAAGTGACTTGCCCAGGATCACACAGCCTAGTAAGTGTCAGAGGCCAGATTTGAACTCATGAACATGAGTCTTCCTGACTCCAGGCCCAGTACTCTATCCACTATGGCTGCACCCAGCTGCCCCACACCAAAGGTGCTCTTTGTTAAATTTCTGACCTTCACCTAAAGAAAAGCCTGTTTTCTTTTGTCTTGACCTGAAACACCAGTAGTATTTGTAGAGCACAGTTCTAAATGGAACACCGAGGACCATGGGCAGTCAGGGGACAGCAAACACCTTGGGGAAAAGACCCTGAAGAGGGAAGAAATAGAAATGTGTTGACGGACAATTTTGCCTCCATTAGAATTGTGCTTGAGGGGCAAGCTATGGATTCAGTGGTTTCTAACTCTTGGGGAATGAAAAATGGGGGGAGCTGTGATATCTACCCTCATTGCCCCTCTAACCTCAGCCTTCAAAACCACTCCCCTTTCCTTCTCTGCCAGGTACAACCTGGATGCAGCAAATCCTGAGTCTCATCTTCAACAAAGAGGACTTCCAGAACATCCAGAGCATACCTACCTGGGCTCGGGTCCCCTGGATTGAGCAGATATATTTATCGAACTATTTGCCCCAGATGGAGGCATCCAAACCACGCCTCTTCACCACTCACTTAACTGCCAACTTACTGATCAATAATCTAAAGACCTCCAAGACTCGAGTAAGTAAAGTTGGTCCCAGAGGCTTTCTTTGTCTTTTTTTTTTCCTTTTTTAAAAAATGTATTTATTTATTTTTAATTTTCAACATTCACTTCCATAAGATTTTGAGTTCTAAATTTTCTCCCCCTCCCCCCTCCTCAAGATGGAGTGCAATCTGATATAGGCTATACATATACATTCATATTCAGTAATCTTTTGGACTTCCTTTTCCATTTGTCCAATTTTGCTCTTTAGGGCATTCTTCTCTTCATTGGCTTTTTGGACCTCTTTTGCCATTTGGGTTAGGCTATTTTTTAAGGTGTTATTTTCTTCAGTATTTTTTTGGGTCTCCTTTAGCAAACTGTTGACTTGTTTTTCATGATTTTCTTGCATCACTCTCATTTCTCTTCACAGTTTTTCCTCTACTTCTCTTACTTGCTTCTCAAAATCCCTTTTGAGCTCTTCCAAGGCCTGGGACTGATTCACATTTTTTTTGGAAGTTTTGGATGTAGGAGCTTTGACTTTGTTTTCTTCTTCTGGTTGTATGTTTTGATCTTCTTTGTCACCAAAGTAAGATTCTATGGTCTGACTCTTTTTGCGCTGCTTGCTCATGATCCCAACCAATGACTTGAGTTTTAAACTTTTTGTTAAGGTAAAAGTCTGCTTCCAATGTGAAGAGTGTAGTGTCCCAAGCTTCGGGGGTTTGTACAGCTGTTTTCAGAGGTACTTCTAGGGACCTGAGAAGTGTCAGTTCTTCCAAGGTGCTGTGATAGGGCGCAAGGTGTTTCCTTTCCACCGCCACAACAAGCTCCACCACGCCAGTGCTCTTCCTTGCCCCAGGACCGCCCCTCAGAACTGTGACCCAGATCCAAGCACGGGCAAAGCAAGAGATTTCTGCCTCAGCCCCGGCAAAGAGATCCCTGTAATCCCCCTCTGATCAGCCACTCGATTCCCCCTCAGTACGTGGGCAGGAAGCTCAGGAGGCAGCCATTGCCCTGAGGGCATGCTCTGGATTTGTGGCTGAGACCTAGCTCCTCTCTCACCACAGTCACAGACTTTTCCCACTGACCTTCTAAGTTGTCTTTGGTGTTCATGGGTTGGGAAGTCTGGAAACCGCCACAGCTGCCCACGATTCAGCCCTCTGAGGCCTGCTCCAGGGTTGCTGCGGTCTGTGTGCCCATGCTGAATTGTGCTCCTCTTCCCGCCAGGCGCGATATACCTTTCAGATCAGCCATCTAGGTTGTCTTGGGCTGGAAATTTGTTTTACTCTGTTTTTTTTTGTGGGTTCTGCTGCTTTAGAACTTGTTTAGAGCCATTTTTTATAGGTCTTTGGAGGGGTTTAAGGGAGAGCTCTAGCAAGTCACTGCTTTCCCTCCGCCATCTTGGCTCCACCGACAGTGACTCCATATACATTCATATTAAACATATTTTCACATTAGTCATATTGTAAAGAATTAGAACCAATGGGAGAAACCATGAGAAAGAACAAATTAAAAAAAAAGAGCAAATAGTATGCTTCAATATGCATTCAAATGTCATAGTTCTTTTTCTGAATGTGGATAGCATTTTCCCTCATAGGTCTTTTGGAGTTGTCTTAGATCCTTGCATTGCTGAGAATAGCTAAGTCTATCAAAGTTAGTCATAGCACAATGTTGTTGTTATTGTGTACAATATTCTCCTGGTTCTGCTCACTTCACTTAGCATCAGTTCATGTAAGTCTTTCCAGGTTTTTCTGAAGTCCACCTACTCATCATTTTTTTTGGTGAAGCAATCACGGTTAAGTGACTTGCTTACTCATCATTTCTTATGGAATAATAGTATTCCATCACATTCATACCACAACTTGTTCAGCCATTTCCCAATTGATGGGCATCCCCTCTATTTCCAATTCTTGACCACCACAAAAAGAGTTGCTATAAATATTTTTGTACATGTGGGTGCTTTTCTTTTTATTTTTATGATCTCTTTGGGATAAAGACCTAGAAGTGGTATTGCTGGGTCAAAGGGTGTACTCAGTTTTATAGCTCTTTGGGCACAGTTACAAATTGCTTTCCAGAATGGTTGGTGAAGTTCACAACTCCACCAACAATGCATTAGTGTTCTAATTTTCCAACATCTTTTCCAGCATTTATCATTTTCCTGTTTTGTCATGTTAGCCAATCTGATAGGTGTGATGTGGTACCTCAGAGTTGTTCTGATTTGCATTTCTCTAATCAATAGTGATTTAGAGCATTTTTCCATAGGATTGTAGATAGACTTAATTTCTTCATCTGAAAACTGCCTGTTCATATCTTTTGACCATTTATCAAGTGAGGAATGACTTGTATTCTTAAATTTGACTCAGTTCTCTATATATTTTAGAAATAAGGCCTTTATCAGAGACATTGATGGTAAAAATTGTTTCCTAGCTTTCTGCTTCCTTTCTAATCTTGGTTGAATTGGCTCATGCAAAAACTTTTCAATTCATTGTAATCAAAATTAGCCATTTTGTATTTCATAATGTTCTTTATCTCTTGTTTGGTCATAAATTCTTCTGTTCTCTATAAATCTTACAAGTAACTATTCCTTGCTCTCCTAATTTGCTTATAGTTTCAGCCTTTATATCTAAATTGTGTTCCTATTTTGACTTTATCTTAGTATATGGTATAAAATGTTGGTCTATGCCTAGTTTCTGCCATATTATTTTCCAGTTTTTCCAGCAGTTTTCGTTAAATAATGAGTTCTTATCCCAGAAGCTGGAATATTTGGGTCTATCAAACAGTAGATTATTATACTCATTGACTACTGTGTCTTGTGTATCTAACTTATTCACAGATCCACCACTCTATTTCTTAGCCAGTACCAAGTAGTTTTTATGATTACTGCTTTATAATACAACTTAAGATCTGGTATGGCTAGGCCACCTTCCCTTGCATTTCTTTTCATTAATTGCCTTGATATTCTTGACCTTTTGTTCTTCCAGATGAATTTTGTTATTATTTTTTCTAGCTTTATAAAATAATTTTTGGTAGTTTGATTGGTATGACACTGAATAAGTAAATTAATTTAGGTAGAATTGTTGTTTTCCAATTATTTAGATCTGACTTTATTTGTGTGAAAAGTATTTTGTAATTGTGTTTTATATAGTGTCTGGGTCTGTCTTGGCAGGTAGACTCCCAAATATTTTATATTGTCAACAATAACTTTAAATGGAATTTCTCCTTCTATCTCTTGCTGTTGGACTTTGTTAGTAATATATAGAAATGCTGATGGTTTATGTGGGTTTATTTTATATTTTGCAACTTTGCTAAAATTTATTATTGTATTTTTTTAGTTGATTCTCTAGGATTCTTTAAGTATACCATTATATCATCTGCGAAGAGTGATAATTTTGTTTCCTCATTGCCTATTCTAATTCTTTCCATTTCTTTTTCTTCTCTTATTGCTAAAGCTAACATTTCTTGAACAACATTGAATAACAGTGGTGATAATGGACATCCTTGTTTCACCCCTGATCTTATTGGAAATGCTTCTAGCTTATCCCCATTACATATAATGCTTTCTGATGGTTTTAGATAGATGCTACTTATCATTTTAAGGAAGACTCCATTTATTCCTATGCTCTCTAGTGTTTTTAATAGGAATGGGTGCTGTATTTTGTCAAAAGCATCTATTGAAATAATCTTTTTTTTTCTAAGAAAAAAACACAGCAAAACAGGTGGGTAGGAAGGTGAGAGGGGATAGAGATAAAGCAGGAAAAAGAAAAACAAAAGAAAGAAAAGAGGCCTATTAAAACTTCTTTTTTAAAAAAAAAGGCAAAGAAAAGAAGAGAAGGAAAGCCAAAAGGAAGCATAGAGAAGCTGGACAGCTTTGAAAGCTACTCATTGAGTTTATTGTACTCTTAGAAAGAAAAACAAACAAGTTCTACGCAATAGAGACCTGCAGTTTCATGGACAATCCACTTTTTCTGTGCTGCTCTGTATGAGGAAACACCCATTTATTTAGTGTTTATTAAGTTCAGAATAAAATATGTACATAATACTCATACATGTACATACATATACACACTCAAAATATACACATATACATATATGTATATAATTTATGCATATATGTATATGAATAATATGTAAATGTGTGAATATAATGTGTATAAATAATATGTGTATATATATGTATGTGAGATATATATATATATATATATATATATATAAAAATTTTTTAAGTGGTTGGTCCTGGAGCAGGCAGAGAGCCAATGCAGCATCCTCAGGTCCAGGATGCCAGGGGTCTGAGTTCAATTCAGGAGCCAAATCCATGGGCTTTGTTATATGTATGTGAGGAATGAGAGCTTTCAGTCAGGGTGGAGGAAACCAAACATATAAGTGGAATATGATAAGCTGGTTGACAGGCAGCAGCATGGTATGATGGATGACCCACTAGACTTGGAATCAGGAAGACCTAAGTTCAGATGGCATCTTTGACACTTATTGTGTGACCTTGGACAAGTCACTTAACTTTTCTGTCCCTCTATTTCTCCACCTCTAAAAAGAGAGGTTGGTACCTAGTGGCCCCGGTGATCCCCTTCTGGCTCTGAAACTGTGATTCTTTGGTAGGCGGAAGAGAGGCATGAGGTGATTTTCAGGACCAAAGCCAGCACCAGCAGAAGGGAGAGAATGACTTAGTGGTATACCTTCCAGGAGTACAGCATTCCCCATGCCAAAAAGAACCATTAGTACCCAGCCTCCTGTTTAGTGTTCTAGCCTTTGGTGTGAATCGTCTCCCCTGCCTGCAGAAGTCAGCAGCAACAAAATAATTCAAAATGGAGGAACGCCGCATGCTGGCTTAAGATCCTGATCGCTTATTAAGCCCTCATTGTCTCACTCAGGTAGTCTAGGCGCGAGATCTTGGTTCACCTATTGTTTGTCCTTTGTGCTCCAAGAGTGCCAGCCTTGGAGTCAGGCCTCAGATACTTACTAGCTGTGTGACCCTGGACAAGTCACTTACCCCTGTTTACCTCAGTTTCCTCATCTGTAATATGAGCTGGAGAAGGAAATGACAAACCACTCCAGTATCTTTGCCATGAAAACCCCGAATGGGGTCACAACAAGTCAGACCCAACTGAAAAATGACTGAACAACAAACAGCTACTCAATAACAAGAAAAAGAATGCCATTTTTAATTCATTGGCATTAATGTTATTAATACTAACTCTGATTCTTATGTGGACACTAGCCGTGTGATCTTGTGAAAGTATTTTTAGCATCTCCAGGTCCTAATCTCCCTTACTTCAAAATGAAGAGTTTAAGAGCTCCAGCCTTGGAATCAGGAGGACCTGAGTTCAAATCCAGGCTCAGACACTTGATGCTTACTAGCTGTGTGACCCTGGGCAAGTCACTTAACCCCAATTGCCTCACAAAAAAAACGAAGAGTTTGAGAAAAGAGCTCTAGGTTTGGTGTCAGAAGACCTGAGTTCGAATATAAGCTCTACCACTTATTTCCAATGTGGTCTTGGATAAGTCACTTCCCAAGACTGTCGCCTGGGGCACCAGTCATAAGGTAAACAGCAGGAAGAGGGCTAAATTTAGTTGTGAGATAAAGGAGTGGAAAGACCTCAGACTTCAGAACACAAAAATAAACTCCAATGAGGTGGAGACAGAGACCCTAGGACACAGTCTCCATGGATAGAGGACCCAGGACTCCCTCAGGCTGTTGCTAGTGATGCATGCCACTGGTGATGCATGGGGGGAGGGAGAAGATTGAGGCCAGGCCAAAGGGGAGTTCATCTTGGTACTGCCACCGTTGGAAGGAGTTGGGGGCACAGAGCGCATCCAGTAGTTTCCTATTTTATGAATTTTTTTTTTGGCTAGGCAAGTGACTTGCCCAGGGTCACACAGCTAGTAAGTGTCAAGTGTCTGAGGCCAGATTTGAACTCAGGTCCTCCTAACTGCAGGGCCAGTGCTCTGTCCACTGCACTACCTAGCTGCCCCTAGAAGAATTATTCTTGCTAAGTGCTAGACTCAATGCATGCCAAAGTAGTACTGGTGCTGTTGGCACCCTTTATAGTTCAGTGCCCTGAAACAAAGCCTCAGCTGACCCACCTTAGTTACGGCTCTATCACCTCCTTCTCTAGAATTCAGTTCCTATAAAATAAAGAAGTTGGTCTACACTATTCCTAAGGTGTCTTCTAATCTTTCCTTATCCTTCGATCCTATGAATGGATGATCTATGAAGTTCACTCAGCTTAAATCATCTTGAATTCCATGATTCTGCATAAGCATAGGAAGTGGGATAGAGATGGGAGAAAAGTAAGTGGGGCCGAAGAGGACTCCCTAAGGAACTTGGTTAGGCAACAATCCCTGGAACTTACCCCAGAAGCTCAGTGTTGTTCCTGTCCTTTCTTCACTTGGTTTCTTCTCAGGTGGTGTACGTGGCACGGAACCCAAAGGATGTCCTGGTCTCCTACTATCATTTCCACAAGTTGGCAAAGTTTCTGCCAGAAATCGGCTCCTTTGATGACTTCTTTGACCAGTTCCTGGAGGGCAAAGGTTATTATATGGGGACCCAAGGTGGTACAGACAGAATTGATAGGGAGGAAAACCTGGCCAGCTCCCTTTTGAGGGCAGTCCCATTTCTTATGTCTGCTTAATCTTTTTAATTTTAATTTCCAGTTCCAAATTCTCTCCCTCCCTCTATCCCCTCCCCAGAAGGCAAGAAATATGATACCCATTAGGCAAGAAATATGATACCCATTATACATATGAAGCCATGCAAAAAATATTTCTAATGTCTGATCTAATGTCTAATCTCACTAATCAGAGCTATCCAAATATAGAAAGGGTTCATTCTGGTGTTAAGGACTTCACCTTCCCAGTGGAAGCAAATTCTCCATCCCTGGAAAACTTCAAGCAGAATCTGAATTGAGAAGGGATTCCTCATTCTATTCTAGGGCCTTTTGAGATCCCATCCCACTCTGAGATTCTACGATTTCATCAGTGGCAAGGTTAACCTTCTGGTTGGGAGGGGTGTTCAAGACCCTGCATAGGGGGATAAAGTTGTCTTGGGGTATATCCCATGGTCAAGGGATTCCTGCCCCACCAATGACATTGATGGGATGGGACCAGGAGAATGGCTGGGGGCTAGGGGTGGAGGAGGGAGGAGCCACAAGCTTCTTCCAAACCTGTCCTTCCCTGTCTGCTCTGTTTGAAGTAGGGGAAGATGGTAGACTTACATCTAAGATAATGGTGTCCAACCCAGACAGAGAGGGGGGGAGTTACTAAAACCACACTGAAGGATCCCTCTGGGCTACATATTGATATAGTTTTTAAAATGTCATATTATCTGTGAGTTTGTTTTTGTTTCTGTTTTTTGTTAAAAATTTTCACTTTAATCTAGGTCAGGCTGCACCTGGGAGTGTTACTACCACGTGGCAGACCTCTGGTGTAAGAGGCCATTACTGGGCCAGCCAAATGAGATGGGATAAGATTGCCGTGGAACACGAGCAGAGTCACAGATAAAAACACCAAAGGGAATGAGGAAATTGGCCTTGTCCACTGGCCCTTCTAGAGATCATAATTTAGAGCTGGGAGGGACCTTAGAAGTTCTCTAAATCAGGGCCTCTTAAACTTTTCCCATTCTCGACCCCTTTTCACTTTTTAGCAGTGTTCATTGGTGTTGCATGGCCTGAGGGCATGCACAGTGTGAAGTGCACATGCTTTGTGTTCAGAACCAAGGCTGCAGTGAAGTTGAGCCATGCAGCTCTGGGGCAAGTGCTGCTCTAAACACCTCACATTCATTTCGTGTTTGATTTTTAATTAATTTTTGGTCATGGAGCATTCAGAAACCTTTTACTGTTGCCAAGTTTTTTGTGACCTAATATGGGGTAGCAACTGATAGTTTAAGAAGTGCTGCAATCTAAATGATATGTTTCAGAGAAGGTGGGTGGCTGTGTGACCCTGGGCAAGTCACTTAACTTCTGTTTGCCACAGTTTCCTCATCTGTAAAATGGGAATAATAATAGCATTTACCTTGAAGGGTTGTTGTAAGGATCTGATAAGATCATTTTTGTAAAGCAGTTGGCATGGTTCTTGGTACATAGTAGGTGCCATATAAATGCTTCCTCTCCTCTCTGCTGTTCATTTTACAGATGAGGAAAATGAGGCCCAGACTTTCGCCAGGTCACACTCGTGGTTAGTGGCAAACCATGAAATTCTGCCCTAGGTCCTCCTGGTGTCAGGGTCAGAGCTATTTTCTACCCAGCTCTCTCTGTCTCATCAACAACTCAGGCAAATTCTGATGGTGCCAAGCCACTGGGAAGTTTTCTAAGGCCTGAGGCCTCTTCTGCTAATTTCAGAAAGATCAAATAACATGTGTTCTTCCTCTGGGCCCAAGACAGAAGCCGCCCTGCCTTCTGGGAGAGCTCTCCCTAGGCTGTGGGTTGGGCAGCTCCCCTGGTCAGAGCTGAGGGGCTGCTAGCCTTGGATTGGGTACATGCTCTTGATCCACTCTCTGTCTTCTCTCCCCCAGTGAATTTTGGTTCCTGGTTTAACCACATAAAGGACTGGCTAGGTGTCCAGCAAGATCTGAATTTCTTTCTGATCACTTACGAAGACCTCTCCCAGGTAGACCAACATTTCTCCACCGCATTTTCCTATGCTCAGTCCTCAGTGCTCGATCCCAAAGCCCCTTCATATAATATTCTCAGGGGTGTCCTCCTCCCCAGCCAAGGCTCATCCTGGCTTTGATGATGCCAGGGTTAGAGATAAGAGGTGCAGCAGGGTCCCCGACTTTGGCCTTCAGCTTTTTCCCCAAGCAAGAGCTTCCATGCTGTCTCCCCAGCTCCCCTGGGATCTTCCCAAATACTCCAAACTCCCAGAGAAACCAGCAAGTGGGCTGGGATGCTGGAAAATAAAGTTAACTCACAAACACACACTTGCACATTGACAAATACACACACGTAATCACATACATGCACTGTTACAAACACAGACACATATTATACACACACATTACATATAATCACACAGCTCTTAAATACACATATATACTCACAGGCATAAGCATTATACACACACATCATATACTCATAAACACATACACAAACACACACACATCTCTGTATACATTCACACAAATACACATACACAGTGTGCTCACATATAATCACAGAAGTATATACATTGTCACAGAGACACATATGCACACATACTTCACAAACACATATAATTACACATGCCCACATACACATGCATTATGCACATATCATATAATCATAAACACATACACACATCTCTATACACATTCACACAAACACACATTCATAAACACACATACACAATGTACTCACAATCACAAAAGCATACACATTGTCACAGAGACACATATACACATATACTTCACAAACACATATAATTACACACATGTACACATGCATTATAGAGATGTCATATAATCATAAACATACATACGCACACATTCACAAATACACACATACATCTTTATACACATTCACACAAACACACATTCATAAACTCACATAAAATCACAAAAGCACACACATTGTCACAGAGATACACATACACTTCACAAACACATATAATCGCACATACTCTCATGAACACACTCACATACACATGCAGCATACACGTATTCGTATACTCATAAACACAGGCACGCACACATGCACACTAGTTGTTGGAATAGGTGGGGAGCACCGCTCCCCTGTCTCCAGCCCTGGTGCCTGTTCTCCAAGCCTGCCCCCAGCTTCCCCCAGCCTGGTCTCTCCCCACTCCTTGCTCAGGAGCAGCAGAAATTCTGGAGCTGTGTCTCTGGGGGTGGAGGGGAGGTTAGGGTGCAGTGACGCCTCAGCCTCATCCCAGGGCCTTGTTTCCAAGGACCCTCGTGGGGCTATCCAGAGACTATCCAACTTCCTGGGCCAGCAGCTAGAATCCAAAGAACTTGAGAACATCCTACATTACTGCAGTTTTTCCTTCATGAGTCAAAATGAGCAGCTCAACTATTCCCTTGTCCCTCCAGAGGCATTTGACCACAGCGTGGAAAAGTTTATGAGGAAAGGTAAGGAGGGGTGCGCCGGGAGATGTGCCCAGGTTGGTGCACCCTCCTCAGGAGTTCCCACAGGGCTTCCCCAGGGAGAAGAGGAGGCTATACCTATCCCCGCATTTCACTCAGTGTCCTTTTCTCCCTTTAGGTGTAACAGGAAACTGGAAGGAACACTTCTCACCTGAGCAGAATGCCAGATTCAATAATGTCTACCAGGCAGAGATGGGAGATCTTGCTGTTAAACTGCCCTGGTCCCTGGACTGACCAGGAAAACAAAAACCAGCCCCTTTCATTGGCAGGCTGATTACTACAGTGATGCTTCACCTCTACTTGGCCCCACACCCTCACACCCCTACATTGATAAGCTATGGGCTGTCCAGAAGGGGGCAAAAGTCTGGCTGAGGATAGACCACTGGTAGTTCAGGACTCATATTGGAACAAAATAAGACACTCATAGGTTATTGAATAGTTAACAGAAGGAAGGTTACTTATCCATAGAAGGCAATTCACTTCCTTCTGAGAAGAGTAGGTTTACTTCTGCATAGAGTGGCTGGACCTGGAGTCAGAAAGACCTGAGTTCAGATCCAGCCTCAGACACCTCCTAGCTATGTGACCCTGGACAAGTCAGTTAACCTTTGTCTGCCTCAGTTTCCTCATTTATAAAATGGGGACAATAATATCACCTCCAGGGGTTCTTATGAGGATCAAATGAGATATTTGTAAAGAGTTTACCACATAGTAGGTGCTTAATAAATGCATGTTTTCTTCCAGCTATACTGGCCTATTTGCTGTTCCTCACACACAACACTTCTTGACTTTACACTGACTTTCCCTAGTGAGGATGACACTTAGGTTACCAGCCTGAGGGACTGGAAGGATGAAGTTGGAGGTTAGAGAAAGGCTTAGGGGAAAAGATAACTAAGTTTTGTTTTGGACATGTTGAGTTTAAGATGTCTATTGGATATCCAAGTCAAGATTCTAGATTGAAGACCTGTAGTGAGGCTGGAGCTAGATAGATAGATTTGAGAATCCTCAACATAGAGACAGTAATTAAATCCAAGAGAGCTGATAAGAACCCCAAGTGAAGTACTAGGAGGGAGGGAGAAGAGAAGAGGGCCCAGGACAGAATCATGTGGGACACTTTCTGGTTAGGAGACAAAGGAGAGGTCAGATAGGTAGGAGGAGAACCAGGAGAGAGGGGTGTCCAGAAAACCCAGACAAAAGACAGTATCAGGGAGAAGAGAATGATCAATAGTGTTAAAGACAGCAAAGGGATCAAGAAGAATGAATGTTGAGAAAAGGCCATTGGATTTGACAACTAACGCATCATTGGTAAATTTGGAGAGGGCAGTTTCAGCGGCATGACAAGGTCAGGAGCCAGATTGTAAGAGGTTAAGAAGAAAGTGAGAGGAGAGAAAGTGGGGGCACCTATTGTAGATGAAGTAGAGGACTTTAGCTTTAAAGGGCAAAAGAAAAATAGAACATAGCAGAATGGAAAGATCAAGTAAGGATTTTCTTTGTCCTCTTAAGGAACTGGCAGTGGCCACATCCATATTCATCAAAATGAACTCCTTGATCAAGATCCCTTATATACATCTTTATCTCTGTATCTCTAGCTCTTATCACAGAACCTCACATAACAGATGCTCATGAAATGCTTGTTAAATTAAATTGAACTAGCCAAGCATACACTCATGACGCAAGCTCCTGGTTTGGAATTTAATAGTGGGCTGAACAATCCAGGTCCAGCTTTCTGGGTCTCAGTGTAGGCCACATTATATTTCTGGGTTCCAGGCCACTACTGACCTCCCTCCCCTTTCCAGAAGAGTATTGACTGGCAGGTACATTGCAGATAAGATGAGGGCTTATCACTTACATGGGCTGAAATCTCTACTAATTCTCATTAACCCTGGACCCTTATGACACCTTCTTTCCTATATCAACCCCCCAAATATCACCTACACCTAGATGCTGTAATGAGGAACATCTAACCATGTTCTGGGTTAACAGGGAATGTCACGAAAACACTAAGTGTCGATCACAATAAAGAAATGTGTACCTGAAGCTAACCCATATGTGGATCTGTAGAAGCCAGGATGAGTGACGAAATACATACATGATAAGAGCCCTGTTTCCACATGCATTTTCCCCCCAAGCCCTTTTGCTTGGCTGAGAATCCTTTCTCTCTTGTTTTAATGATCAAATGTTGCACCCAGGCCCATTAAATGCCTGTCTGTTAAGAACCAAAATGCATTTAGTATGGGGGGGAAAAAAAGAAAGAAAACTCCCTTATACCACTGCTGTGTGGATGCTGTAAGTGGCTGGTTATGTTGGCATGAGAACCCTGTTCATTATCCATTTTCTCTGAATTGTACTTAGAGTTCAGTGGGAGCAGAACAGTGGGAGATGCTGGTGATGGCACAGTGGTTCAGCTCTGATGAGTTTCATTTGCCACTGGCCCATTTTGGGGACAGGATGGTTGAGAAAGCTTAGCAGCATGAGCGGCCATGGAGAGAAGGACAGCTGGTGTGAGTGAGGGAGGGAATCCAGAAGCTGAATTCCAGTACTGCTTTAAGCTAGTGACGCTAATGGAGCCCCTGGGTGGAAGCCTGATGCTGGGAAGGCAGTTGTAACTGCAGATTTGCATATGGAAACTCAAGCCGGTCTCTCACCTTTGTTATTTCTAAGCTGATGCTTTCTACCAAAATAGAATAATAGCAGTGACTCAGAATTTGCTTTATACCGCCTCCTAGGTGGGGCAGTTCCACTTTTCCATAGTCATCCTTTCTTAGGGGCCCTCTCCTGATTTATAACTTGCCACTGGACCCAGATGGCTCCAGAGGAGAAAGTGAGGCTGGTGACTTCGCACTGCCCCGCCTCATTTAAATCCAATTCACTTGCAAGTCATGGCATCATCTTCCTGATGTCATGGTCCTCTTCTGAAGGCAGACAACAACAAACAACATACCATCCTTTCTTGTAGGCTTGTCAATCAATTTGAGCGCATTTAGTAACTGAGAAAGGACAGGAGACTTTTTAGGCTGTGCCCTTGGGGAGTTTAGGTACAAGGTCAGGAGTAATAGAAAGGACACCCAGAAAAATGGGTCAGAAGCTAAACAGGCACAAATGATTTATGGAGAACTCCCAGTATGGGAACTCCCTTCACTAACCTCAGATCATAATCTTATATCTTACTAGATTGGGGATCCGCCTGAGACTCTGAGGGAGGAGTTAAGTAATAATAATAACAACAACAATAACTTTTATATAGAGCCTACTATGTGCCAGGCATAACAATTAACTCATTTGATCTTCACAACAACCTGGGAGGTAGATGCTATTATTATCTCCATTTTACAGATGAGGAAATTGAGGCAAACAGAGGTTAACTGACTTGCCAGGAGTCACACAGCTAGGATGGATCTGAGGATGGATTTGAACTTGGGTCTTCCTGACTCCAAGGCCAGTGTTCTATGTACTAGGTCATAAAGCCTCTCCCAAATTTAAACATGGATTAATGAAATAACTCCCATCTACTCTACAAGGTACATATTGTTCACCTTGCTGGGTGGTTGAAGGTCATAAGAAATGAGAAGCTATGGAAAATTCAGGCACTGCAACTACTTTGAACCTGATCCCAACTTTCAAAGCAGGGTAATGCCCACATTTCCCTCTCACCCCACGGTGAAAAGCCAGCTTCTCATCACCACTCCTTTGTTCACTAGGAGAGTTCAGAATCTCTTATTCTAAGGTCCTGCAGCCTTTTCAATGAATCCTTAGCTTTGCAGGTGGGATTCTAGAGCAATTAGGAGCAAGGCTTGTTCTATGATTTGGGTTAACCACCATGATGAAAGAGATGAACTTTTTTGAATACTGGGAACAGATTTAGCTATGGGGTTGAGTTATTTTTCTGAGAGATAGGAAAAGCTACTGTTACCCTTCAATCAGCCAGTAGTACCCCCATGCACACACAGACTTAAGAGTCACATTTGTGGGAGTATTTTATGGTAAGTGTATATATAGCTTGAGCCCCCAACTCAGTGTGAAACTAGGGCCCTCCACAATGAAGATTTTTAACCTTTTTGTGGATTCTGGCACCTTCTGGCAATCTGGCGAAACCTATGGACCCTTTCTAAGAATACTGTTTTTAAATGCATAAATAAAATACACAGGATTACAAAAGGAAATGCAGCTATCAAAATATATTTTTTAAACATTGCTGAACCCCAGGTTAAGAATCCCTGTTTAAATTCGTTAAGGCACAGCTACTTTATTATAACCATGCTAACAGAAACCTAGGCAAACCCCAGCATAGGATTAGTGAACGCATTTAACTGGATCAGAAAAGAAAGCTGGGGGGTAGAGGGGGAGAGGAGGAGGGAGGAAGGGAGAGTGAGAGGAACATTCTTAGCAACCATTCCCCAAGCTACTGTATTCCTAATCTCTTCTCCAGCAAAGTCCAGAGAGGACGCTTCCTCCCTCTAGGCAAACCGGGTAAAATCTCTGTAGTCTTAAGCATCTTCCATCTCCATAGTCTTAAGCATCTTCGATGTTAGCTCTTTGGTAGCATGTGGGTAAATATTCAATTGGCTCTCTGAAAAAAAAACAACAAAAAACTTCAGGACATACTTTTAAATTTAATCTGCATTTTAATCATTTTCTCCACACTTTCTTAAATCTAGAAATCAACAAAACACTAAATCTAGCCCTGATTTATAGCATTTGCCATTTCTGAAGTATAAATGCTCACAGTGAAAATTTCACAATTGGCTCCCCATCATCAACACCCTCCTGGACAACTACCAGGCAGACCTTGGAAGTCTTTTTGGTTTTGTTAGCCAATTCCTCCTAACTTGACCAGAAACCTGATGTTTTAGCCCAGTTGTTGTTTGACCTTTATTTTCAGAAGACCAGTGATGTCAGGAGGGTGATTTGCCAGTGAATTGGATTTAAGTGAGGCAGATTTGCCAGTAAATTGGATTTAAGTGAGGCAGAGCTTCAAAAAATCATCAGCCTCACTGTTTCCTCCAGAGCCATCAGAATCCGGTAGCCAGACAAAAATCAAGACAACTGGCAATGACTCAGAAGTGGTGAGTGACCTTGGCCTCTCTGTCTGAGCCAAGGCTCATTTGATGACTAAGGGCTGGGGAAGAATTGTGACAAAAGATTGCCAAACTTACCATCACAAAAATATCAGCCTGGGAGGGAAAGATCCTCAGAGTTTCTGGCCAGAACAGAAAACAATGCTATTTACACTCATTCTAAGCCATCAGTGAGCTAAACCATGAAGAAGTTGGGTTGGGATTATTTTTGGCCATTCAATAAAAGCCAGAGTGATTGGGTTTAAAAGTTTAGTCAGGTAGCTCCATTTAAAACACCATGAGCTTTTTTAAAGCCTGTTTTTCCAAACTCAAATAGGACAATCTACATGTTTACTTAGAAAACCACAAATTAACATTATTTATTTCATATTTTTATTTATTTTGTTAAACATTTTCCCAATTACATTTTAATTTCTGGAGTTTTGTCAACCCATGCACCTTGAGTCTGACACACTTCTGTTTTACCTTTCCCCTGTTTTGTTCTGTCCTCCACTCCATGATTTAGGACTTCTTGCCATGGCC